GCACGCCATTTCTCGACCCGCTCTTTCATTTGAGCCCAAAAAAACATTCATATCTTGTCTGACATCTCTGCTACAAACTCGGGTCTTCAACTCGGGCTTTCAATTGAAGGCCCGAAGGTCAATTATTTATTTCATTTTTTATTTGCGTTAAACTATACTGATATTAGTATTCGAGAAAATTGTTTACTAGTCTACTATCTCCATATCACTTATCAATTGATTCGATGTGTCTAGTTTATTGTCTAGATTTAATTTGAGAAGTAAAAGTTGAGGGTCCACGATCTCCCATATATCCACGGTAGAAATTACTTTGAATCCACGGGAAAACGTCCCGTATATCGACGGTCAAAGTTACCGTGGAGTGTGTGAATAGACACTGTCAGCATAAAAACCGAAATTCGTTCCTGATAAAATCGTAACGAAAGCGAAAACCTAGGTTCTGTTGTGTCGAGTCTAGTAGCGTTATCCCATCGTTGTCCTTATCTTTCTATTTCGTGCGAACGTTACGGTCCGACACCACGGTACCGGCATCTGGCTGGCAAACGCCGAGATCTCGACCCCCTTTATTTCTTCATTTTTTTTTGCTCTTTATCCATTTTTATTCTGCACATTACTGCACAGTCGTCGTCTTTTTATCGCATTTCCTTCGTCATTGCGCGCTCCAGTGTCTAGTCGCTGACACGAGACCTTCGGTGAGAGGGTGTCAGGCGCCGGCAAGACGTTCCCCCACATTCCTGAGGTAATCCCGATTATTTTCAAACCCATGTGAGCTGGATTTTATGCTTTGCAAATGCATTTAAATCATGACTCCTCGGAATCCTCTTTGGGTATGAGTAGAGCCACTTTGGGTACTTGAACATGCACTTGAGACGTACTCGAGGATAATCGCTTTTTCGCTTGGGATTATCGGAGGCGAAAAGTGAATTTACAAGATGAGAAATGTTCATTCCAATTGATCAAAATAAGTCGAATACTATTTTTCGCGAAGGGGGTAGTCATGTCCGAATTCATAGCCCCACACGGAGAAAATTAATAGGTGAATTTCAAAACGTCAATCCGGCCAATCCGGCTTCCGTGCAAGCAACAACAATAACTCGCTGATTAAAGAGCCTCGCTGTGATTATTAAAGCCCTCACAGGCCGGAAATCTCTAAATATTCCGAAGTCATTGAATCTGAAAGATTATCAGAGTCAACTGAGGAGAGAATTCCAACAGAAAACTTAAAATACAATTCCCCAAGGATGACCTCAAGAAAATAAACCCTCATTGACGTCACATAAAAACTCCCAGCGTCCTCATATTAATAAACCCTTTTTCTCCATTCAAAGAATTTACGCAGGAGTCACTTACAAACTTTCGCGGAAGCGTATTGGACCCTCCCCCTGACTAAATAAAAAACGGACAAAGGACTCATTCTGGTGGTTTATCGCACCGTTATACTCTCGCCTACGTGTGAAGATGCGGTTGGAAAGAAGAATGGCGAACAAAAAAATATATATAAAAATTTCGAAACAAGAAGAGAAAAAAAGAATGAGTAACGAGAAAAAAGGGGATATGAAAGAGGCTCTCAAGTTCACGGATGGACGGGCGAGGCCGAAGAGTCGAGGTATACCCATTCTTTTATTTCTTGTCTCACGTTCTTGCACGGTGGCACTGTACATATAACGTTACACGATCCTCTCTTATGTGGCACGTCGATGCTGTCACACTGTATTCTCTATTCCCCTCACTCTCTCCCATCTCTCATCGTGGTTTTATTTTCAATTCAATGGGATTTACGTCGCGCCAAAAACGTGGGACAATGTTCAACTATTGGCCAATGCTATTTGCCATTTTTTTCATCCATTAATCCCCTTCATAAGTATAATTTATCGCTCCTACGAGTCATTAAATTTTAATGAAAATCCCCTCCAACGAAATTGACAAACGAAGGATATAAATATTTATTTGATCACGATTTCATGGAGTATCTCATACACTCGAAGATAAGTTTATCTCTTCTCCTCGAGCTCCTCCGAATTCCATTGTAAACATTGACTCCACTGTATCCGATTTCACCCTTTCATTGATCTTTTTTTAGGCCTTCAGTTAATTTTTAACTGGCGAATTGGCGGGGAGATGAAAAATAAACTTACTTTCACGACAAATTTCACAGGCATTTTACCGGGGTTGTTCATCCCACATTGGTGAGAATCGTCTTAACGAGTTGAAACAAAGTTTAATTAAGCACAGTGTGTTGGAGTTCGTATGCCGCGTTGAACTTTGACTATCGCGTGCTGTACGTACACATGTTGGGAATAGGAGTGAAAACAATGATACGCCTTGTGGCTACTGTGTCTACTCATTATTCATTTAACCCTTTTTAGTGGCAGTGAGCATTATATGGTGGCACTATTGATGCTAGATGGAGTTTATAGAAACATTGGGAATAGTCAATTAGGCGACAATTGATTTAGATTGTGGATATCACGGGTTAATTGTTTGAGGGTAATAGATATGAGTTATTGTAGTTTATGGGTTTCGGAACAATTGGAAATCTATCAATTGCGAAAAGACGAAATCGTTTGATTTGAAGAATGAATATTTGTTGATTTTAATGACACGTGACAATTTCTTCTAATAGATAGGGGGGCAGGCCAATTGCTGGACGGTTAAGGGAAATTCGAGTTTCGGGGATATGATGACTTTCATGCTTTTAAGAATGTTTTAATTACACTGCTAGAAAAATAATGAAATTTACAGTTCTCTTTGATTTTTCCACGAAATTCTGAATTTTTACGAAAATCCTTGAAATTTCAGTGGTAATTGAATTCGATAAACATTTCCGAACAGTGTGACAGAAATTTCAGACAAAAATTTTCAACAGTGTAGCAGCAAAAAATTATTCGAAGTGAAAATAACAAAACAAAGAATAATTAAATTAAGAAATAGTTGAATGCAGCCAGAACCCCTAATTTCTGGACGACTGGGCCATATTTTTTTTTATTTATTTCAGAAGCTAACCCCTGTACAGAAATTGAGCTGTTTACCCTAACCAGTTGCATAGACCCAATCAAGTCATATGCACGTATAAAATTCATTTCAACTCATAAAAATTCCTGTGAACTCTCTCCCTACTTTATCGAAAAATCGATAACTTCAATTTTTCCCTTCCCGAAACAATTTTATCTCCTCCGAGTAGAGACCTATATCGGTAAATCGATATCGGTGTTTAGTTTACATCGATACAATGTCCGGTACTCGAGTTACCGTCGTTGAGTAGACCCAACAAGCGGGATTAAATCGCAATTTTTCCATTAATTCCCTCTCTTTCATTTTCAGGAATGGCCAGTGCAGGACTGGAGGTGCAAGAAGCAGGCCGTGCCCTGAGGGTTCAAACCGAAGCTCCACATCTTGTTTCTATGGGCAGTGGCAGACTGTCCACTGCTGTCACCCTTCATCCACTGCCAGAAGGTAAACATGTACTTCGATACGATGGGAAAAAGTGTAATAATTGATAAGCTCGTATCTCGGATAACACTGAGTCATACTGTGTTTCATAGGTGTTGAAAGATTAGTTCCGAGAATATCATTTTTCATCCGGTGATTTTTCCTCATTGACGAAAGCTGAGTTGAGTAGTTCTCAGAAACGATCAATTTTGATTGCAGAGGAAGTTGGAAATCTACGTCCCCCTTGGAGAGTGAGATTCAATCCCAAAGCCGAGTATTTTCAACACATTTCTTGGAAATTTTTATCAAACGGAAGTGCCACTGATTTTTCGCAATTGAAAATTCATAATTTGGTGATGAAATTATTGGACAGTGTAAATTTCAGACCAATTATTACAGGATAATTAATTGAAATCAGAAAAATTCAGAAATACATATTCTTGAATTTCTAATTGATTGCGAATTCCACGTAACTTGGGACTGAATGTTCATGTTTTTATTGAAATTTCAAATGAGTTAGAGAATTCTTCTTAGAGGGCTTAGAATTCTACTGAATTTTCATTGATATTTTCGAATTTAATGTGCCTCTCCTGAAAACTACTACCAGGCTGTCCATCAAATTGAAATTTTTTTCATTAGTGTATCTCATTTTACCTATCTCCAAATTGAAGGAGTTTACGCTTCTGCAAGAAAGATTTTGTGAAAAATTTATATCTCAATCGGATGAGTGCCCTCGCCCACGGTCCAGGGCGGACTAGCCACAGTCCTTATGGGGACCTCAAATCCAGGTTCGCCATTTGTTTAGACCGTGTCGGAATCGACGTCGTCAACCTGTCAATTGCCGAGAGGATGTTCACGCTAAAATAAACCCGCACATCTCCGAGCAAAGCGATCTCGGTTCCGAGTTATGATCATACGGCCCCTGTATTTGAAGTTCGAAAAGTCTCTCCACACATCCTTTTTTCGCTCCCCGACCAGGAGTTCGTTCCTCCATTAAAAACAAAGAACATAAAATACATAATACCGATAATATCAGTCACCCTTTACCCTTTTCGTGCAGCAAACCACACGGTACTTCCCGCCGCAGAATATTGTCCAGCTTCCCGTATGATTTTACAACCTAAAAGTTCGCGTGCAAGCGAGGTATTCCGGACGAGGAAGCCGCACGTGCGGCCAAAGTGAATACACTTACAATTACACTTAACTCGCGAAGAAAATAACACATGTACAAAAGTCTTTGAGAGGCGTAACTCTAGGGACAGAGGACAGTAACCCAGAGCGCACTCTACATACTTAAATATAGAGTTAGTTACCTCGGTGCACAATATAAATTATTGCATGAGTCAATTCAAGTAGAGTTTTACAGCACATACCCCAGTCTCTCTTGCTCTCTCCGGAGTGATGTATTTTCAGTCTACGTCCAATGTCGCTTTACGCCCCGTTAACTCGCGACTTCTCCTCCCATCATCCCCTCCCCCTGTCCCTGTTTTATTTCATCCACTGTTTATTCATGATTAAAACGAAACACTCATAATTCTTTCGTATTATGTGCAACTTTCAGCGAGTGAAGATGACCGGAAATTGTGAGAGACGACCGCGTCGATCTAGAATCGCGAGTGCGCCTCATTGTTCGACTTCCTCCAATGCCATAAGCCGGAAGTTACAATTATTACGTTAATAATGCACCCGGTGCACTCCAGTACTACCTACATGCGCTCTCAAGGCGTTGTACCATGCACACAGCGCGTTATTGTTGATATGCGTTTAAGATTGTGCGTCGGAACATTTCCTAAATTGATTCTCTCGGCTATCTCTTTTTCTCATCTTACGAACTGGGGGAGGAAAAATTTCACTTCGTTATTTATGCACCTGTGACTTTCATAATGATATTTGTATTTTGGTTGAGGTACACTTAAGGGGGGGGGGCAGGTGGCATTCGAATGTCTTCGGTTGATAAAAATAACTATCCAGCGATTTTTGATACATCATGGGATAGCTAAAAAAAACTCAGCGAAATTTCGTACCCAACCCATTTTATCCCGTACGTCAGGCGAAAACGTCGTTTTTCGTGGTTGTAGCTTTGAAATTGTCTTCGCACCACAATTTTTATCCGATTTAAACTTTTTTTTTAATGTTCGTTAGATTGTATAGAATAGAGCTAGGTATTTTTGATCGATTATCTAAATTATCTTCACTCATTTTTTTTCTTTTTTCATATCATATAAAAATGATAATTCTGAATACCTGTTATATACTATTTTAATGTTCGATAACTCAGAATATTAATTTTTATATCCTAGGAAAAAAGAGAAAAGCGGCTAAATCGAAAATTCCGGAAATTTTTATCGTGTTCAAGTTCCACTGACATTTCAGGAAATCTTGTCAGTGACAGATTAAATATTCCATTGATTTTCTGTGCAGATGACCTGGAAATCCATAAAAAAATGGATTTTTCAGTTCAATTGTTCTGTGAAAATTCAGAAAAATTATGAAAATGCCGGGAAAAATTGAAAATTCATGTTATTTTGTTCCTGCATATTCATGTCCCACTGAAAACTCCGTGAATTCCATTTAAAACTTGAAATTTCATAGCCATTTTTTCCCTAAATTCGATTCATTGTCACTCTCACGAGATTTACTGTAATATCTTCCATGAAATTTCAAAAAAATTCAAACAGCGTAGAATGCCTTCGACTAGAATCGTTGGGAATTCTTCGTGCACCATTGATCAGGCTTTCTGCACCCTGGTATATTTCCGACTTCGCCAATTCGCACTCAACTCATACTCCAACTAACATTTCCAAAAAGACCGAAAATCCTGGGGTTCCCACTCGCGCCAAATACTAAATATAAATCCACCTCCGGTTCTTTGTAGAAAGCCACCGTCGAAAATGCACTCAGTGCAGTCCCCATCACTGACGCAATCCCCATGTCTTCTGGTCTCTCAAAATCCCTCGGAATTAATTTTGAATTGAAGTGGTACAATATCATCAGTTGACCGATCTCGTCCCAGTAAAATCTCCATTTTTCTATTTATTAATGAATTTTGAAGGAAATGTCAAGATATTTCGCTGGAAACCCTGACCTTTTGCGAGTAATTTTTTCTTTCATTTTTTGTAAAATCACATAATTAAAAAATGATAATCGCCACTTCAACGCAGAATTGAAGAATCAATTGACAAACTAGCAAGACGCACAATTCAATTTTCCACCTATGGGGAGAAAGTACCTGACGATTTTAGGACCGAGAATCACCGACCGGTTGAACAAGTTGGATTCTTTTATTTCCATTTGTCTAGTTGAATTTTACATGATTGTGTTGTAACTAATATAATTGTCCGCAGGTCGTGTTATATTGGGATCGGATAGGAATGCCGATATACCAGTGTCAGGAACGGGTGTCGAGGGAGTGCATTGTGCTATCGAGAATAATAACGGAGTGGTCACTCTTCATCCCATAAACGGAAGTACATCCATCGACGGCAACGTCACAAACTCATCTGTGAGACTAGCACAAGGTGAGTTAATCAAAAGTTATGGGTGTGGATACATCAAATTGTTAGATCACTCGGGTTTTACGTTTTCGAAGGGAATTGTGGGGAGGCCTCGTAAAATCTCCGATAAAGTTCGTCCTTCCAGGGACTAGTTACGATGGGAGTGAAGAATTTCCATCGTTAACTGCGAACTTCATAATTGGATTTATCGAGAGCTGTTATCGAATTTTTTTATATTATTCTTTGGAATTCCGCTCGTAATTGACGATTCGTATCGGAAACATTTTTGCTATAAATTTTTATTGTGCTGGGAGAGTTATTGCAGTGAGAACTTTTCAGTGAGAAAGTTGTAAAAGTCTGAATTCATACGACACCTATTTTTTTTAACTTCTGTACTGTAATACATTTTCAACATTTTCCGCACTATTTCCGTCAATTCCATTGAAATCAATTGACCAAGACCGAACGATTGTAGTTGAGTATCGGGAAAAAGCTCTGACGTTCTAAACGCGTTGTAAATTGTTGATGTCTCGTTGGAGAGTTTTTGCCCACTGAGAATCGTCGCGAAGCAGCTGAAGTCGAACGGATTATTCGGAAATAATTGCTTCAATTACTTAACAAAGAACTACAACTTCACAAAAACCGCGTCATCAGAAGGAAAACGTCCTCAGGAATTGTTTTTTTATTTAACTTTGTTTTTAGTCGCATCGACAACTAGGCCATTAGCGACTGTTTACAAAAGGAAGATAAAATATAAAGTAGAAAATCATCAGCCATTTTGGAAGCACTTATTATTATTGAATTCTATTCAATTATTGAATTCTATCGTACTCGGCGCACTACAAGAGTAAGATGAGAACTGCTCCCTTTCAAAATTCCATCAGTAATAAGTGATTTTACCCCTTATAAGTACCAGAAACTAATCCAAATTAATTTCCAGGCTGCATGATATCAATCGGCCGCTCCAACTACATGCGTTTCAACCACCCAGCGGAAGCAAAACACCTGAAAGCAGTTCTCCCAAACTCCAGAATATCAATGGCGCCGATAAGTTTCTCCCTGCTCCCGGAAAACACGGATCTCGAGCGAAAGCCTCCCGTGGCTCCCCGGAAATCCCCCCGGAACTCCTGTTCAGACGAGGAGGTGGGCTTCCTGGGTAAACTAACAAAATTCGAGATGCTGGCACGTCAGAGTCGTAACTGCGTATCTCCAAAAGTCTTTCCCGCGGGTTCACTAACGACCAACGTCCCCGCCGACCAAATTCTCGGTCACTCAAGGTCTTCCAGCCTGATATCACTGAGCAAAAGTCACAATTCTCCATTGCAGAATCTCACGAATTTCGATAGGAGCAGATCAAACACACCGAATTACATTGGTAGTCCAAGTGGCCATTTGGGTCACGGGGATGAGCACAAAAATAGGATTGACAGCAGAACACCTAGTCGATCCAATACACCTAACTGCAGTTATCACACATCAACCCCAAATCACAATCAGATTCAATTGTACAGCTCGACAGAGGCATATCTCAAGACTTGCAGACCCAATTACATCGAGAACAATGAGAATCACGGATCACTGAGTAAATTTAACGGTAACAGCGTCGATCTCATGTCGAGAAGTTTAACTTGCCAGAGGTCCAGTGATTACGATAAGTTTGGACGTGAATTTGATATGAGCCAGAGTCTGATTGTGGCGAAAACTACGACAACTGAGTATCTTCAAGTTGAACAGTATGGATCCAATCCAAACTTGTGCAGCAGGCCCAGTGTACACGGTTCAAATGGATCATTCAATATGGTCAGTTGTGGACAGAGTTGTGGGGCAAATTTCAATGGGAAGAGGATTCAACCACCGAGCCCAGCGTTTAATCGTAATCCGAGGTACAACGAACAGAAGAGAATCCAGGGAAGGGTTAAGAGTCCTACGCCCAGTGTGGGCAGTGGGTGTTCGCTTGAGGAGCTCAGAGAGAGGCAGATTGATGCGGAGAATAAAAGAAAGGAGGCCGAGTGCAGGAGGAAATTGGCACAGGAGGAGAGAGTCAGGGAGCAGGAAATTGAGAAACAGGAAAAAATGAGATTAGAGGAGATTTTAGCGATGTGCGCTGAGTATGAGAGACAGAGCGCTGGGGAGAAACCGAGACAACCAAATAGGTAAATTAATGGATTTTTAGGGTTTCTTGGAGTGAGTGCGGTGGAGGATAAGCGTGTGGATGGAAGATACATTCAGCAATCGTAATGAGTCTTCTTTACTTGAGCACTCTGAAAAAATTGAAATTTCGTGGACAATTGAATAGTTTTTCTCAGAAGAAAGACATTGAACTCGATTGGGGGCAGAAAAATACTAAACACTTTTGAGCAGTAGGAAGATGAGAATTCTCCAGCTTACTTCGATTTCCAATCAAAACATCAATGTTCAGTGCCGAATTACGCTGAAGTCTCAATTAATTGAAACTTCAAGAATATTTTTCTACTTAAGCTTTCCGGATTTTTCGCAATTTTTAGGGAATAATTGAACTAAAATTATAGGTTTACCATTAATTTTTCTATTAAAGCAGCTCAGAGCCAAAATTTTCAATAATTAATAAATGAACTAAAAATATCTCGTAAAAAATATCTGCAGAAAAATTACATCATCTCCTTACAATAAACGAAATTAAGTATGAGTGATTGCATAAGATATTTGATACCCTGTTATCAAATTTTGATAACCACATCAGAAAGCACTATATTGGAGTGACTTAAGTGAACAATGAACTAATTTTCTCACTAATCCTCTGCAATATTTTTCAGAATTAAAACGAACGGATCACTGCCACGTGACAAGAGACCGGGCTACACTTCCCCATACAGTCCAAAGAGTCCCTCGAATCACCAGCCCCATTTTTCCTTCGACTCCCCAAAACAATCCCCCCCAAACCCCCGTCGGCCCCATCAAAACGGAAATATTCCAAACAACATACGTGCCTTACCCGACCCACCGGCATCGCCAAACAACAATCGATCACGAACCTGGTCAAGCAGTCCCACAAACAGTAATCACGGCTTCTCCACCTCGATATCCCAAGCTCGAGGCTCTAATCACGAGAACGCCAAGATGCTAAACGGAGAGACTGATAAACGAATCGAATTGCCGAATCAATCGACCTTCAGTACTATACAACTGAATGGTACAAGAATAGCGAGTAATACAGTGCCTAATTACGAGAATTTATCAGTTAACGGTAGCAATAGCATTTACGAAAACGTTGTATCACCCCAAAACAACAATCAAAACAATACACTGAAGAGAAATGGGCATTTAACGAATTCCTGTGAAGTTATTGAGAATAAACTAGCAATATCGAATGATGATTTGCTCGAGGCCATTGAGCAACTATCAATGCTATCAAAATCCAAAGACAACTGTGTCACACCAAAAAAAAATAATACCGAGAGAGATAACGCTAAATCAAATGAGGCAAAGGCTGATAAAGAGCGCAAAGAACTTGAGGAGGAAGACAAGAAGAAATACATTGAATTTTTGCAAAATGAGAAAGTTCACATTCTTGGTAACATGGAAATGCTGAAACGCAGTATCGCAGACATTGAAATTCAGGAGGAGGAAATAAGCAGAGAGGTAACAAAAAAAGAAATCACTAAATCCTTTGTTGAACAATGAAGAGTCTGTTCACATTGAATGCTGACGGTTGACACTTATTTTTGGAACTAACGCGAATGTAAAAATACAATTTCGCTCTTTCGTCTTGGATAATTCATGCGCGTGTGGTTACGTCACAGCGCCTTATCTGTGGTTTTGGATATGCCGGCTGACTAGTATTTGAATGAACATTCTTCGTTTACTTCTCTATTCCTTGTTCAACAGTTGACCATGTGACACTCGTCATGAGTGGTTCGCTTTTCTCGAGTTTATCCCCATTTTTTCATAATTTTCTCATTCACTCACGAGTGAGAATAAAGTGCATAGTTTTTTTAAGGAACTTTGTTTTCACTATTTGACAGGGGAAAATGTTTTTGTTGGCTGACACTCTGTACAAGAAATTAACTTGCGAGGTGTTGTATAGTTCCACATCTGAAATAAATTCACTGTTTGTGAAAGAGAGGAGATAGGGAATTAAGAGCACACTCTTTGTTATATTTCGCAGCTTGAATTGGAGAAGGCACTGCTGTCAGCTGAGTACGAATCCGAATCCCTGAAATTAACGACTGACGAGGCGGAGAAAATAAGTTTGCAGATGAGAATTAACGACCTTGAACGTGAAATGGCGGATGATACAGCGAGCCAGGCTAATCTGCAGACAGAGGCTAAAAGACGAGTCGACAGAGCCCAGGAATTGTGCGACAGACTAGAAGAGGAACTCAAATATTGTGGTGGTGACAGTAAACAGCACGAGATTGCGGAAAAATTGAATGCACAGCAGGAAACCCTTGAGACTGAACGAAAAACCTTTGAGGATCTCGAGTTTCATCATTTGGAGGAGGAAGCCAGTAAATTGGCAACGAGGGAGGAATTGCAGAGGTAAGAATTTCTGGTTCAATGGATCGTTATCAATAACGTGGGGGTCATGGCGCCATAACGAAAGAACACTGATAAAACTATGATTTCAGATATTTGAGTGAACTTTCGAATAAGATAGAAGCGAGGAGGGCCCAGCTTAATCATCTGGAGTCTCAGAGAGGTGTTGCGAAATCCACAGCCACTAAAGAGTCGAGAACCCTAGAGAGGCAGAAACTCGGACATATGCGCAGATTAGAAGAAGTAAGAATAAATGAAAACCACTTTCTCGAATTATTCACATTTGTCACTAGAAATTTATCACTCATGACGTAATTCTTCTGCAGGGTCGTAACAGAATACGTGCCATAGATGACGAGTTGGAGAAATTGACGAGAAACACAGCGGATAATTCCGAGGACAAGAGGTCTCCAAGTAGAGAAGATTTTGATAGAATTTCAAGAGTAACAACGGACTCACCAATTGTGAATAATCAAGGCAGCTTGGGGAGGAAGACTATTGAATCATTGAAGGAGATCGAGAGGAATCGCCAGCTGCATTTGGCTAAGCAGGGGAGTCAAGTGATATCGGAGGAGAGACGCAGAGTCGAGGAGTTGAAGAGGAGAGTGCAGGATGAAGTTAGATCACAGTGGGAGGAGAGAAAACTCAACTGTGCGTCTTTCAACAGTGTTGAGTCTGGTGAGGAGTCTTCGAGTTACTCTACTGGGCCAACTGAAAGGTAAATAACATTTGAGATAAAAAAACCTATTAATTGGGTGAGACTTCAAGCTGTTGAGCGACGAAGCCAAAATCGCTGGAGCAATTTGTAAAAAGAAAAGCGGGGGAACTCAGAGGTTTGGGTTTCATGGCTACTCAACTCATACTCATTTCAATTTTCAAATGGGAGATGAGTAATGATTGACCAAAGAATTAAAGTCAATCAGCCAAGATAGTTCATCATAGATTTATTCCTTATTCTCAAAAGATTTAACATATTGAAATCATTCATGAATTTGTTTTCATTTTTTTTTCAAATGATTGCACAACACATCTGTAAGAAAACAATAGAACATTTTGGAAACACATTGTTAAACTTTATTCAAACTGCAAAGCTATTTCATATTAATCATTTTCTACAAATAACCCGTCAATGGTTCATTTCCTAGGATTGTTCTGCTGACATTGCTCTGATATACGCTAAAATAGATCGTTCCTTTTTAAGCTCCGCTGTACCTTCTTTACAGCAAAAACAAAATTGATATGTTATTAAATCTGGAAAGTTTCAAAACAATAAACTCATGTTTTGAAACTCCGAACTTGTTTCATTGAAGGATCAATACATAACATACAATTGTAAATATTTAATGTCCACAAGCGTTCGGCATTACCCAGAGTTCACGACGGGGATGTAGCTGGTTTGAATCCCAAAAAGCCCCTATATTTGCAATAATTAATATTTATTTTTGTGTTGAGGCAAGTGTTGATTAGTCATGTAACCGAGTTTCGCCAATTTTCACTCATGAAAAGAAAGATCGAGGGGTATTTTTAAGCGTCCAAAGAAGCATGTTTCTCTACAGAATTGAGTATAAATAATGGTCTCTACGTATTTTTACGAAAGCCTATGATTTCTCATTCTCCTCGGTTGACCTCTACCCAAATGCATATAAAACGTGGAGGATTACCAACATAAAACATCATCATTATTCAAATTCCGTTACTATTACCATGCATTTAGAAGCCCCGGACTTCGATCGTTTATGCGAACGAAACAGAAAAGAAAAAACTACTCCAGTTATCTGGTATAACAACGACATTTGCCTCGACTATGTACACAGAATTAGTTCGACAGGCGCGTTTGAAAAATCTATGTAATCTAAACACTGATAAAAAGCCAGTCGTGTTCTCAAATTCCACATGTACATGTAGTTTCAAATACCCCGTATTATTCATCCAACATATGAGAACACGTCTCATATTTAACAGAAATAGGATTTAAAAAAAGTCACCTTTAAACGTAGAGATAGTTCAGTGAAATTCAGCGGTCAGAGTAAGTTGGAGTGAAATATCGTGGCAGTTTCATCTCAGCAGTTTTGCTACGTGAAACCCAGGCCTCACCTCGTCGTCATTGAGACAGGCATCGAGATTGCTTGATTTTTTTAAATACCCCGCAGGCTCAGCACGAAACTTTGATGCAGTGAAAACTCTCGTTGCTATTTTATTTTCCTTTTTTTTTCGTATTAAACACTTGCGAAAGTGTGAGCCGGCCTCTCTGATGGGATCGTGGGTCGTGTAGGTGGGGCATGTGTTATCTTGGCGATATGGATATCGTGGAGTTGAGATCGGTAACGTCAATGATGCTAGTCGAGAGAGGCAGAACCGTGTTGTGCAAATGATCGTGTGAACATGTCAATTTAAAAGTTTGAGGGAAAACAATTAGCGACATTTCACCAACGATTCGTCAATTTTTTTTTTTTCGGGGAAAGGATGAGAGTGCGAGATCCGTGATTTACATGTTAACTGGTGCGTGAAGAAATAATGTGCGAAGATGAACACCCGGGAAATGGGTGCGGCAGTGATGGACGAGGCACGTGCGAGAGGGTGCAACTTGATAACGATCATTACTAGTAACAAATTTTACATAGTTACCAAGGATTGGCTTGCAGAAAATTGCTACAGACCAAGTGAACGATGTGCACGTTACTGGTATAATCGTTATTTGTGAGTTATCACTGGGAGAGACATTGAAAAAATATGCATGACGATGAGAAATGGATTTTATGATGCATTGTTTGACGGTTAAGTGTCAATAAAATATTGACCCCTGGTTGTTTATGTTTTCAGTGGTAGCGGTAGCAGCGATGGGGCTGACACCGCTGCAAGTGAAAAAATGTCCCCCAGCAAATTGTCCGAGTTCACATCACCAAGTCCTGGTCCGTCTACCAACTCCTATTCACTTCTGCAGAGTGAAAACGTAAGTGCTGGTGGACTTGAGTTATTTTTGCATGCGATGACTGCCCACCTGTTTCAATGATAGATTTCTGCCGTATCTGCGCGCCTTTTATCACAGTTCGATGGTTTATTCGGCATGTGCGATCCATTAAGCTATTTCCGACGTTCCATGCTTATTTACCTTTACGATATTGATGTCGTTTCTTGTCAACTCGTTTCCGCGAAATTACTGCATTTTATAAGTCGTGAATGAACGAATGACGTTCACAACTTGACGGACGGAGATCAAAGCCGAAGGTTAAAGTGTCAGCGAGAAAACGCCTCTCTAATATCTGTTGGATCATTAAGAATCTTCACCACTCAACGCTTCGTTTACACTGGGAATATCACGTTTGGCTACTGTACTGGTGGCTTTATATTTTCCGCAGACGTAGAATTTCGCAAGGATACTGTACGACATTCTAGGGCACATTTTGCGTATTCAATACCACATGTGCTCCAAATTCATAGTAAAGAGTGTTTTTGGGGATGCATAATTGATTACAGTCGTAAATCCGTTCTATGATGGTATCAATATCATCTTTTCTGAGTCGACGATAATGCAGTTTTTACTATTTTTTTATTTCTACAATGAGCAAATTAACTGCATTAACAATTACTCCATAATTGCCGTGAGAATATGAATGAATTAACGAAACGTCATTATGTAGAGTGAATGGAAGAAGAATAATTTTCCTCAAGTTGGTATTTTTGAAAAAAGCCTCGTTAGGATTATTGATCGATCCTCAATAGCCGTTGCACCCTGTGGAGAGGGGTTACTAACAAAAGGAGAAGAATAGCTGGAGCATCCATGCGTAGACGCAAACGAGTGAAAGAGCTACTGGTGTAACGTGTGTGCGCTGGTTCTCGCCTGTGCCTCTGGTACACAATTTTCGCTTTTATTTAAATAAAACCAGAAGAAGTACACAACAAGTCGTGAAAAATGTGCGCACAGTGAGATAATAAACATAGAGCCCACTCGTGCGTAGATATGAGACCTTTGTGAATATCCGTATGCAGGAAAACCCACGCATATTCATACCAAAGAGACACCTCGTAATACCGAAAATATTCAAAATAGTTTAGTGGTATGGTGTCCGCGGGCATTTGCATCGAAATTTTTGCACAACAAAAATTGAACGACTGACTCATGCAAATAACATACACGGCTCATCGTCCAGGTTGTGGGCGTACTTGGTATATCGTTATTTCTAAATAATTTTTGCCCCTGAATATGAAGTCGTGAATCCTGTGAATGAGACTCGTTGTGTTACAACTTTGGGTGAGGGGTATGTGGGGGCGGTTTTTACTTATTTTTCGAGCGGGCAAATACCCGCTCGGGGTGGGGATGTATATGTATGCGTGTTAAAACGAGTGAATAATAACTGTACAAGCACTCCCGAAACTCTCAGTTGCTACTATACCTCTGGGGATACAGCACGCTTGGCTTTTTTAAGGATTTCGGTGGTTGCTTTTCTTTTTTAGTGAGTCAACGAGATTTCAGTCACACTCGCACGGGCGTGGAAATTTCGGCCAAGTTCGTGATATCGCAATCGTTTTGGGAATTTTGAGGGCTAATTCTTTGATTGTTTTTTGACAGAGGAGAAGTAAAGAGAGTACTCAATAATCCAAGAGAAAGAATTTCAAAATAATAAATTATACGCGACCGGGGAATTCATTTCGATTGTATACATGAAAAATAAACAATAAATTATTTCATTCTCCTCTTGAATACTCAGTACAATTTGTTAAACAATTACCATCGGGATGTCACTCATGTGGATGAACTACATGAAATCAACTTGCAAAAAGAAGCACCTGAAAAAACGCCGCGTAAGTCATCCAACTCAATCAAAATTCTGCAAGAGTAATGAAATTAATGAAAATTCACCAACACCTGTTCACACCTGTGTGGCAATTTCTCTTAAACTTCCGGAATAATATACTCGTGTTTATGGCTTTCGTGTGCCAAAAGACTAGTGTCATAATATGCACGAGAATTGTGAATTTTGATACAAGCCGGGCGTTATAATAGGAGATATGAAAATATAAAGAACAATGTTGGTGGCATCCCAGAATTTTTGGTGTACGGTATTTATATGATGCCTATAAATATATCAAAAATGTCCGACTGGTCTCAATCGTACCTGACCACCACCCAGAGATGTTTATACTAATGACAAAAAATCATGACACAAAATTTTCGAAATACGAAAACATAAACACGAGAATTATTATTTTTCGTAATTTTGCGAATTCGTGGAATGCAGTTTGATGCGTTTACACATTGTGCATGCGTTTTATAAATACATGTCCCCGAGAAAGTGGTCATTCTGACCTCCTGATAATTTTGAGTTTTCCTCGATACGAGGGACATGTGTCGAACATAAGGCACTTGTATCTGGTGTCTCATCCGTTTTGTGATCTCGGATTTTCTCACTTCTCTATTTTACAGATGCGAGATGGTAGGAGAACCTCAATGGAGGGTGAAAGACTCAGTGGCACTAGTGTTGGGCTCGTCGATGGTAACGGAAGTCGCCCGCTTTCACAAACTTCCAGTGAAATGGACAGTGTGGGGTCCCTGCAGACTGTTAAACATCGAGATAAGCCAAAGCTCCAGGTGAGAAAATTATTCCATTCGAGCATCTGCAAGCCTTGGATGTTCCTGAAATACGAATTTTTGAGCCTAATCGTTATGTCTGTTTGTTTCAGCGTCCACTGACGAGATATCTCCCGATAAAATCCGAATCTCTTGACCTGAGACATCATATTGAAACCGCTGGACATCAACTTCCTCTTATCCACGACGTCACTGTTGATACCACCACGTGCAGTGGATGCTTGTCGAAAATGAGCAAGAAGTTCCATCATTGGAACAAACGCTGGTTTGTTTTTGACAGGAAACGCAAGACTCTTTCGTACTTCAGTGACAGCCACTCTAAGAAGGCTAGAGGGCTTATTTACTTCCAGGTAAATTGCAAAATTAAGTGAATGATTAAGACGTATGACTCTTTCATTCATTCCTCAAGTGTTTGCATCGAAGAATTGCCCAGTATGTGGACAAAATTCCATTCGTATTGATTAATATTCATTCGATAAGTTGTCATTTTCTTCTTAACTGAAATATTATTCTACAAATTCGTATTTCATTGTGACTTCTTCCTTGAATATCTCCTCGCCATCTACCTTGGATTCGAGATATCTCATATCTCATAAACACTGACTCATGCCACCACTTCCCCTCATCATTACAATATTTTAATGGAAAATTATAGAATTACATTTTTTTCTCCCTTTTTCCAGTCAATTGAGGAAGTTTACGTCGATCACATGAACACAGTGCGCTCTCCCCAGCCATCTCTGACGTTCATTATAAAAACGTCAACCCGATTGTATCATCTGATGGCACCAAGTCCAGAGGCAATGAGAGTTTGGGTCGACGTTGTCTTCACTGGTGCCGAGGGATACCATGAATTCGATCATGGAGTTTGACAGGGACCAACAACTGCTTTATTCACAGCAGGATCTCCTTACAGGACCACTGAGGATCCACCTTTGTGCCTGAAGAATTTGATCTTTAAATTCTTCGATTGAATTTATCTGGAAAATGGAAATTCCTCCAAAGAACAATTTATTTGAGTTTTTTTCCCCACAATTTTAGAGATGTGGACTGTCTTTGGTCTTTCACGTTGTTGACTACAATATTTTACCCACCATTGACGACGGAATTTGTGGACGTATACTTTACAATCAAATGGTGCCAATTTATTTGATAAGAAAGTAGGAGGAAGCGTAGAAATGTTTGGGATCACAATCATACGCTGATTATTATTGACACTGGTATTTTCTGATGGATAGTTAAGCCTAGTGTACATTAAATCGTAGAGAATTTTAATCTAGTCTTCCAACATAAGTAATTTTGATACAGTTGGTATCGACGAGAAGACAACATTGTTCGTTTTTTCGGAATTTTGCTTGGAGATACTGAACTTGTCTGGAAAACTGGAATGAACCAGGGGAGAATTTCACAGCGGAAGCTATGACACTGTGGCGTTGCGATTTTTCTTTTGAAATGAATGAAGTTCAAATGATTTTGTGAAAATGATGAATTTTATACATATGATTCAATATGTAAAGTGCATTCTGTATTGTTCGATCGAATTTTAATGAGATTGATTGATTGATTACTTCGTATGACGTTTGAGGACTTTAAGACCAATAAACGTTATTATCATTTCTACAGAAAATTTTGGTGTTTTATTTGTCTTTGAATCAGAGTACCAATATCTTCTTATTTTTCGTCTATGGCTAACATGAGTAGACTGCATTTCCGTCAAATGATGGATCAGTTTTTTTTACAGGTCAAATTTATTTTTTCCCGTTATTCACGACTCAACTGGAGTCTATTCATACGACTTTAAAAAGTCCCGAGATCAGTGATCAGTGCCTTCCGAATAATCACAAGATATTTTATTGATGAACGAAAATTCATGAGAATCGAGGAAAAACTAGCAAGAATGGATGGAAAATTTATGGATCTGCATGAAGTTTTCACGAATATGATTCAATATTGTTTAGCATGTCAGCAGCATCCTTTCCGATGAGCTGTAGTGACGTATCACCTGATTCTCTCCAAAAATTCGCGACTTTTCACTATCTTATATAGTTCACGAATGACCCACCATCCCGGAGGTTTAGTGATTTTTACCAACAATTCCACGAGATTTGCAATGGAAATTATTTTTCGGGTACGAATTATATCTCGAGAGACGATTCCTTATTCCCCTCTTCGCTGTCCTCTACTAGTCAATCAATGAAATTTGAGATTTACCCCCCACCACCCACTTCCACCACTCATTGGCTCATCCATTAGTAGATATATTTTTGGGTTACGATTCAATAGAAATTAATGATAATGAAAGTTTGGTGTCATTACCATTACCTAGTAACGACATAATTATGAAACCGAATTTAGCTCCATCATTGATCATTACATTAATAACAAGTTTATTCCTTTTCGTTGGCCATTAATATCGCAACAGAAACTATTTTTCTCCGATTATTGATTACTAGTCATCAGAATCTCATTTTTTTCATAGTTTCCTGCATGACGACATCGTGCTCAATTTACCTAATGCTCCATTTCACCTAATTATCGTTGGACTGAAATCCCTCTACTTTTGGGAACGATGGGGTTTTCACCGAAAGCTCAACAATTGAAATTATGTTGATAAGGGTGAAGCGCTTTGACTACAGTGATACCACAACTCTAAATTCGGAAATAAATCCATGATTTCATGATGACAAAGCGGTGGGTTTATTGTCGAAAACATACAGTACATTGAAAATGTTTCCCAAACAAAATGAGAGAAAGAAACTATCAAGTTTCAACAAATGGTACAAATCACCACTGACAATTTACCTGTAGCTAGTTGATTTGGAAACAACAGTGGAAAGTATGACCGAAATTCTGGAATTCACCTCTGAAGCACATCGATTTCAGAATAAAATATCACAAGATCGATTTCAAAACCTCTCACTTCTAATTTTAAGGAATCTATGACCAAATTTCAGTGATAAACGTCAGTGTCCAGTATCACCCATAAATGGTGACCGACTCCTGAAAATCAAAACTTGTTTTCTCTATAATACTTCATTGGCTTCTTTAGGTGATTTATCTACTTTTGATCTTTGGACGACACTGTTAGAAAAAGAATGAAATATCATGGACAGTTCACTACTAATTTTCAGGACAGTGACGCTGAATGCGATTTAGGGGGAAAAGAATCATGAAATTTCAAGTGTTACTGAAAATTCAGTAAAATTCCAGAATTTTAAGCGGCATAAAGACGAGAATTCCTTAATTTATTTGAATTTCTTGAAATTTCTTGAAATGTCAGTGGTAATTAAATTCGATAAACGTGTTCAAAAAGTGTACCGGCACTTTCAGACAAAAATTTTTAAGAGTGGAACCCCAAATCCTCCTTAACCGTCTACGTATTCATTTGGTTACCCTACTAAATCAAAAAATGTTCGTTATCAACGGCATATCCAGCGGTCTCGAGGAAGTTCACCGAAAATATATTTATAAGCATTCATTTCCCTTAAACATCTGTCGTTACGGAATGCGTAACGGCACGTGGCATCTTCCTCCATACACCGTTAAGGAAGTATCACCCTCCAACGGCAAAAACGGCTCGTGCCAGATGCAGATGCTCAAAACTGTAACCGCATCATCTTCCCCTCAACGTTTGACGTTTTTTCCCCGTAAATTACAAAACTCCCTGACTTGGTATTCCATTGTCACCTTCGAGGTGTCCCCAATCAAACCAATACCCCACTTCGTTACATTTTCGGTATCGAACCGACGCATCTGCACAACCACTAATATGGGATCCAAAGTTCTTCGTTTCATTATTTTCCACGAGTGACGCAAGGTCATCAGTAAAAAACCTGTCGACTCACTTTCATCGACCCGGTTTGAATTCCAATTATTTTGCACTGACGCGGGGAAAATAATTTTCCAAATAATGGGAATAGAATGAAGAGAATGTGAATATAGTGATTAGTATTATAGAATTATAGAACGGAATAAAAAGAAAAGACATGAATCATCGGAATGCAGAATCTCCCGAAAATTAACAAAAAAAATCTGCATCACAAAGATCGTCTATAAAATAAATAAAAATCCTGATCCTGAATGAAAATAATTCCATTGATATACACAGAGAGAAAAAACTTATGATTTTCAAGGACATGGTCACCAATTTTCAGGGAAATGGTACAGATTTCCAGGAAGCCATCTCTAATTTGAAGGAATCTATCATCAATTTGCAGTGATAGAAATCACTGAACATTAGGATTATTCCATTTAGTATCCACCATGACCAACAATTGGTAGTGGATTCCTAAAAATCAGTAATCCTGGAAATTTGAGGCTTGTTCCTGAAAATCTGAAATTTTTTTTCACTGAAAATTCAATGAAATTCCAAATTTTTGAGCAGCAGAAAGACGAAAAATCCCCAAATTACTTGAATTGTCAATGAAAACATGGCTATTTACTACCAAAACCGGCTGAATTTTTAATTAATCAAAAATTTAAGAATAATTTAAAAATACCTTAAGAATAATGTATCAATTTTCAAGGAAAAATTGAACTAAAATTTATACCTCCCATCGATTTCTCCATAAAATTTTGAATTTTCAATCCCGAAATTCCTTGAAATTTCCGTCAAAATTTCACGTTACAAAAATTCAGAAGAAATCTACCAGAAAAGTCGTCCAAAAATTGTCAACCGTGTGCTTCATTCCACCTGGAGTTGGAAATTTCCACGGCTTCAACTTCGTCGCCCCCCACCCGAGGCCACTCCATCGAAGCAAACGAACTTGAGGAGAAACCTTTCTCCGATACTTTCGCCCCATTCTCCGCCTGAAAAACTCCCAATTTCCCCAAAAAACCCAATTAAACTCGCAGGTGAACAATTCAAGGTCACCTCCCACGCTCGTCGCGTCACCTTGACCTTGCATCTCACTTAGCATCTGCCCAGGCCCCGAAACGCATCCCAAACCGCCCGAATCCGAAGCTCAACTCATCCCCAAACGAAAAAGTCCCCCATAACTCTGACATTTCACGCCGAAGGTCTCGTCCATTGATGGTCCGATATCAATCGCCTATGAATCACATCCTCGCAATAGCATCAAGAGTCACTCCAAACCCATATACGACCTAATTGTCGCAACGAGGTGAATAACGAAAAAATTAAAGAAAAACCAATCGTCTTTAAAATCCTCCCATGTCGCCTTATGCTGTACATCCCTGACCGAACGAACGTCCGAAGGACCGGTTCCAAGGACACTCGAATTCTCCGTTGCTATGACGTCACCTCCGGTGAAGAAAGGAGGTGGATAGTGGTACATGTACGGGCCACGTGCCCAGTGAAAAATATAAGAAAGAATATGTGTACCCTGGGCTGAAAAGGCCCCCTTGTTTGAGAAAAAAACACCGTCGACTATATGTAATACTGGTATTGGGCGGGGAACTTCACCCGCTTGCTCAGCTTAACTCCCTCCTCACCGACGATTCAGTCTAACTCCGACTGTCGAAGCGTAGAGAGCGTCCTTTTAACGCGCTCAGTAAAAATAAACGTCAAGACCTAGTGATTAATATCAAAAAGATTAGTTCGATTACCTTGAGGTTTCCAACACATTCAAGGGAACATGGCGTGCAACAGAGCAACGAAATCGGGATTTGCCGCTGAGGCGCAAAGAAAGGTGAGATATTACTCTCGTGACTCGATCTTTACGATTCTGTTGAGCTATTCCATTCAGTTGAAGAGCGCGATTAATGGTTTTGGGGCTTTTTTCGAGGATTTCGTGACACGCAACCGAAATCGCGGATTATGCATTTGACGTTATGAACCCTCGGTCGAGTGCGCCGGTGAACGAAAACAACCCCCGTGCCACCCTGACCTAGTGAGCCCGGCTGAGAGCCCCTTCCCCCTGTCCCTACCCACCCCTCACCCGTCCAGTGATAACCCACTTCCACGAAAATCGAAAGAACGCTTCAAGTATTGGAATTTTTTGTTTGAGTTTGAACGCGAAATTTGCAGAATGCGTTGACTGCTATCTTTCGCCAGAATTCGTTGATAATCGGGATTGCGAGCGATAAAAATCAGGCAAATAGAGATTGGAGAGGTGAGAAGTTGCGGTTCGAAAATTTATATTCGATTCCTACCGATTTTCTAACGGTCCCTGCAATGTCGGAAATTTGCTCAATTTATTTTGTATTGTCTTCGGGGGCAATTGAATGGGTTGAAATGCTCGGCCAACAGCTGGCAGCCGAGGGGAATTAAAACATTCGGGTTCCCCAAAGAAGGGAGCGTCCCTGAAACTCGTTTGCCGTGGTACACTTATTCTCATGGGATTCTCTTACTCCTTATTTTAAACTCCGAATGTGGACTCAAAATCTAACGAATCATCACTCGTGTTCTTGTTTGTCATCGCCACTCGTTGATATTGAGTACTGTGTATTCAATGCCAAATTATTCCAAAACGAGGTGGGAATATATTAGTCACTGGAAAATTTCGTCATCGATCAATGCGGAATATTACGTCATTAAAATATTTGAGAAATAAACTCATCGGTGGAACCAACTCGTCGACGTGTCATCCTGAATTATCGGGTCCGTGATAATGAGGCCTCAATAAAACGGATGGGAACAATTAAGTGAAAATGATAAATGTGTTATGATATTCTTAATAGAGCAATTCTTCATTTCTTGTTTAATCAGTTCAAGGACTTTGGAAATGATAAAAACCGGTTTTCGGGGGGTTTATACTTTTTACGTCGGTAACAAATGTTGGAAATTTTCAGGATTGCTGTAAACTCGATAATTTTATAGTCTACGTGTTATTCCAGGCGATATTTGCCTTGGCATCAGGCGCATTAAGCCGGCACTGTGAAAACATACCCCACCCCGAAGACTCCTCTTCGCATACTTTTATCGGCAATTGCAAGGTTTTATTTTAAATTGTCGTCTCGGTGGAAAACAATGCCTAGTAGACAGCATTCTTACGAAGAAAGCAAACAATAACGTCTCGACGAGTCCAGGTATCGAAAAATATTTTTGCGAAGTACATCCTTTTTGGCAGTGATTCAAGCGCTAAAGGGCCTATTACTCTTTCAATATCTGAATGCACAACAAATAAAAATGAATAAAAAGAAGGGGGTACAATCGTGACCCAACGCAAATGGGCTCTGGAGATGTTACTCTCTGATGAAATAGACGGTTTTTTCTGTCTGTATTTGGAGGCCAGACACAGTCCTACACAGACACACACATTTTTACTGAGAAATGACAGAGTCCGTGACCAGCGAAGATACGCTTATCGCTGAGTGGAATGTATGGGCTCAAAGCCATCACGAGAAGCGCTTCCTCGGTATTTTTTTTGCTTAGCGAATAAGAGACGGGGGAACACTTGGGACGACAGGAGAATCACTCGAGGCTCTCAAAACCGAAAGAGTTTGTTTTGATTGAAAAATTATGTTCGTGATATTTCACATTTTAAATGGGACGATAACTTCATTTTTGAGCTTTTTAATGCTGTCGCCTCTGAAGTTTTATAAGCTTGCACTCAGAAAAATGGAGTTTGAAAAGTACGTCTTTATTTATATTAAGGAACTCGTGGCTTGAAACTTTTCAAGAGCAAAATATCTTGCACTAGGGAAAAAAAACTTTCGTCGAGAAATTTTGTAATTGTCCTAAAGATGACAATTTCTTGACGACAAGAAAGCGATTTCTCATATCAAGTTTAATTGAATTAATTCATTTCAGAGTTTTTAGCCTCAATTCTAGAATATTTTAATGCAAAATCATTTTAATTTTTTTGAGAAATCGTTTTCTTGTTATAAACCAATGGCCTTCATCTTTCGGTTGCGCTTCAATTGATGAATTTCTCGTCTGTTTGAGAGGGAGGAATGGGGAAATGTTTTAATGGTTTTTTCGATGAAAATTTTCGATTAAAATTCATCGAAAATCTAGGTTTCCACGAATTTTTCGGGGGAAGAGACGTCTTTGTACGATTTCATTCTAGGACAGTGACATTCCGTTAGTTTTATGTGGAGAATTCGAACTGACTTGAATATTATAGAAAAACTAGGAATTTCATTTATCGGAGCTATAAATATTCAATTCTGCTCGTAAAAATGACCGTTGGAGTCATAAAATCACGTAAAAACTCCGGTTTTGTGAACTGTACAGGATGAATAATCAATGCACAATGAATTTTTTTTGTCAGTAATTTTCGGGGAAAACCAAGGACCTTGTGAGGAATTTTTAATAATTGAGCGATGAGTAACTCGTAAATTCAGATTGTCTTGCTAAGTAACTTGTCGAACTTGATTACTCCCTTCAACAATGAATGAGTACAGTCATCCTACTGTGACTAATGCAACGTGGCAATGGCTGAAGAAATGTTTACCCACACAATTACCGATAAAACTGTTCGAAAATATGCACACGTTAATTAAAACGATTTGATATTTGATGCGGGAATGAATACTGGCTTTGTTGCTTTAAAAATAACGTACAGCGGAAATCCGTTATGAATACCGGAAATGTGGGACCCTTCTCGAGGTACTTATCAAGGGTGTTCTTGTTCTACGCCGTTCGATACTGCCCGCATCAATCGAGCTAAGTGCATTCTCATTAGGAAATGCTTTTGATGAGGAACTTTCTGCGAAGCTAAACTAGCACTGTCGAATTCATTTTCTGTATTATTCATCGAACAGCTCGATTTATTTATGTCAACCCCTGGCGCTATTGAATGCACTCGGCGCTTAACATTTCACTTTGACTGAAATGTTGAGAGTAAACTCGTTTGATTTTACATCACCTTCGAGCACGTGTTTTCTATGCAGTTATATTTGTTTCGCGGTTTATGATTCGGGGGAAAGTTGAGGGGATTGGGAACGAGAGGGGGCGACAAAAGTTGAGGCTCTGAAGGCAGACATTCACGAGAAAGAAGGCCGATTGTCATTTAGGGTAAAGTGTCACAAGTTGGTTTTTGTAATCCACCAAATTTTCTGCAGAAAATTTCTCTTGCGGGGTTCCACGGAACAGCTCCCTCGCAAAGCTAAGAGGGCACAGGATCTTGCAAATCCTTGCAAATCCGCTTTGGGAATCTTTACCTTCACTATTTCACTGATCAATTTGATTTTTTTTTTATGAAGATAGAAACGTTCCGCAGTTTAGTATTCGGGAAAAGGGAGTGAAATTAGGAATAACACTGAGAGGGAAGTTGAGGGTGTGAAGAGACATTCGTTTCCTCGCACGAAAAACCAGTTGGAAAATTGAATTTTGTTCGGAAATTGTTGAAAAAGGGAAAATAGTGAAAGTGAATATATGATTGTGGTTGACTACAACAAGTGGAGATAGAAGAATAATAATATCAAAAACTTTTCATCTCATTTTCCAAATATTTAGACTAAAGCCAGAGAGAAAAACGTTTCGATTTTCAGGAATATTTCACTGATTATTAGAAATTTGTCACCAATTACTAATAATGCTGAGCACTGACTAGAATCGGTTTGATTATCATCAATTTCTAGCACTGAAATTGGGGACAGATTCTTAAAAATGAGGGATGAGTCCCTCAAAATCAGTGACATGTCCCTAATAATTAACAATGGATCTCTAAAAACCAGTAGCATAACGTCTCTGAAAATCAAAACTTTTTTTATCTCCGTCAACTGTCAAAAGTTCTTTTCTACCGTCCACAGAATTTTTCTACAAAAAACCTGCGGAGTGCCACGAAACCTCTTCCTCCCAAAGATATTTTGCAAATCCCTGCAAATCCGCTTTGGGAATATTTTCCTTCACCATTCCGCCACTCAATTCAAGTTTGTTTTCCCCTGTAAAGATAAAAACGAAAGAGAGGAAATGGTTACGAGACAAACCGCATAGAATCCGTCAAACTTGACTCAGCCCTGGAGAAGAATAATATAAGGGGATTTACGTTGATGGTTGCCGTATGTGGGGAGAGCCCGCTCTTTCACATTACAAGCATGTGGATAGGATATTTTAACGTGAGTCACGCATAGCTTCTTCCTTATGTCATATTCGGGTCGCGACCGGCCCAGTGTCTAGTCGGATTCAATCATTATCGACGACGATGGATTTTTTTTCGTTAACGGTCAGTTGCTCAAGCTCTCGTAAACACGTGCCCCTGTATGCGGCTGTACATATGTGTCAAGCTAGAGTTACCTAACTTGTCAATGTAAAGCTTAATGAACCAACCCGCTGCTTTGTCAAATATTGACGTAAAAAACTTGCGCAACACTCGGCTTATTATGACTCATTAAAAATCGAGGCACTGGAGAAGCTGTTCAAATTTTAAGTTTATAAATAATTGTTTATAAATAATTCATGAACGTTAGTTTCAGTCGTTAGTTGTGAAAGCTTCATTTCGCTAATTGATAATCACTTCCAAGTTGATCCTTCGCGAAACGTAATTCACTAAAAAATTTTTTTTGTCATTTTCCTCCAACTTTCATCTCAACGCGTAAATCCTGATTTGGAGTTGTCTCCGGTCTAGATTCTCTGTATTTCCTGGGCACATAATCCCATTGTTTCGGATGACTGTACTTAAGTAGTTCATTGCCACTTAAGGGCAGACTGGACAGGTTCGCGTGACCGAATGTGTGGGGACTAAGAACGTAAAACATGATTTAATTGTTACTACTCCAAATTCCCGGTCTCATGTAGAGAGAGCATGTTCAAGACGGAAATATTCTCTCATGACAATTGAAGATTTCAGAGACCATTGTCAAGTGACTGTTCACCGGCATTTTGGCTCAGTAGTCGAATTTCAACGATCCGCTCCGTGACGCTTATGCTCCCTCAGTATTTATGATACCCCTAACGATATAATTGGGATAAATGGGCACAATTTGCTTGACACTTAACACACAAACATCTCAATTTCTACGATTATTATGGACTGAACGAATGAATCAATCCATTTGCTGGACTGGATCCATTTGCTAAACTCTGTATCGACTCAGCGATGCTTTGAGCAAATAATTAAGATCGCTCGGGGTAATTTACGACTAATATAATTTTTTTTCAATTTTATATCCTGAAAATGAGTTATTAACGGGCGTTAAAATTCGATTTCTTTAATAAAAAATATGAGATTTATAACTGGATTGATATCTCAGTTTGTTTGACAATTTTGAATTCTTGTACGTGTCATAAGGTACAATTCCAGGAACTTGTTAATGTAAGATTGTTAATTTTCTTATTGGAAACTTATGAGGAAGAGATTAATTCAATATAAATTAACTAATTAATTAATGTGAATAGTATTTTCAAATTATGCTTAGATCCGCCATAAACTAACAGAATAAATATTTCTTTTTGATACGAAACAAACTCTTGGGATAAGTTTTTCTTGTCTTCAAAATTGTCAAAGTTTTTTTTGCAAATTTCTATTTATTTCTATTCATTTTTTCCTTCGCCACCTTTTTCGGAGTTTTCACACTGCGACCTTGGAAATTAAACGAATTATTGGTTGAGATCGTAAGGGAAGATGCAACCATTCCGGTTTTCCAATACAAGTGAACAAAAATCCCCATAAAATAGAGCTGGCCAAATCTCCACAATCCGTAAAAGGGCAAACCAGTGTAACCAGACACCATGCAGCCTTCATCATGTCCCCATGTCTTCCAGTATGCGTTTTTATAGACAGCGCACTCCGTACAGTGATCTTACGCAATTGTCTCGACCTTATAAAGTGGGTCACTAGTTTTGCCTGTGACCTCAGACACTTTTGCTGATAAATTCGAGGGTATTGTATTTTTTATTGGAGCAAAAACGCTAATCATGGTGATGAAAGTACATGCGTTATATCTGGGCGCAATCGATGAGGGATAACGTTGGTCACCTACTGGCTGGAGCGCACGACTGATTGGGAGCATCGCCAGCTTAGGACTTTGATCGAGGGACGACCAGTATGCGTCATTAAATTGTAACTTGATTAGACCACTATAGAAGAATAGTTTTGCAACAGCTATGCTCCGATTACTCGTTGACAATTGGTGAATAATCAATTGTTGAGCGGCTTTGGATGATAATATCCCGTGGATATCAAATAATTTATGTATTGTGTGAGCCAGTTTCATGTTTAAAATATATTTTCCAAAATATAACGGAGAAAAGTGATATCAGTGATTTTTATCCCTGAAATTTTCAGGAATTCGATAAATTCCTGAAAATTAGAAATGAAAGTTAGTGACGATGTCACTGAAAATTACTGACAAAATCAGTGAATTGTAAATTTCATAATCGCGAATTTCTAATAATCAGTGACATATTCCTGGAAATAAAAACGCTTTTCTCTGAGATGTTTCTTTATGCTGACAATCTTTCGGATTTTAATCGCTTATCCTATTGGAAGTTATTCTTTTGTGTTGATAAACGAAAACATTGATTAAAATTCTTCGCAATAATGTTTTATCTATCTTTTTTACATTCGTCATCATTCTTTGGACAATGAACCCAATGCCTTTGACGTATAACTGATGGTGATTGCTTTCTTCTTTATGCTTCTTCAATTTCAGGGGAAAACTCTCTAAAGCTAAATATCGAAAAGCTACCCATTGCGAGGGAAAAAGTCCCAACTGAAAAATTGAGTACAGCGGATCGTTTTTTTCGATTATATTATTCTGGAATTGTTCACGGCAAACGGATCATAAATAATGACTTTTTGCACACTAAGGAGACTATGAATTCCATTCAGATGGAATTTGAGACATTTGAAACAGGAATAGAAGAGGGAAGATTTCAAAAAAGACAAAATAATCAATTCAATAACGCGAAGGTTCTCATTATAACAAGTAAGTTCTTGACAATGCGTGAAAGTCTAGCTCAATTAAAAAAAAATTATACTAAAAATTACTCGAAATTATAACTTTTCCTTTTGAAAATAAGAAACTTTTTTTTCTGTCGAGAAACATCGATTAAAATTCCACAAAAAATTCGTTATTTGTCTCCAGTCAACATTTTCATCACAATCTTTCATTCTTCATCTTTCTCCCCAGACCAGTCTCCTTCCTGTGTCTCCAGGAAATAATCCCATTGGCCTTGACGTACAACTCTAGTAAAGCACTCCCAGCGCGTTATTAAAAACACCGAATGTTGTGCTCGTTGAGACAATATTGCGGTTATGCTGTAGTGAGGTCAGAGGTTTTAAATTGCTCCTGCAAGAGCTGCACTTGTTGATAATACACCCACAATTTCTCCGATATAAATTACAAGTATTTTTAATATCTTCCTCAGTGGGCAATAAAATTTTTTTCTACACTTCAATTTATCGAGTGGGTTAGACTCGACAAAGAAACCTTTGAGGAGTCACGTGAGTTCATTGGCTCCGGAGAAACAGTCCTCGGTCGAACGAAAGACGAAAATGAAAATGTTTCTCTCTTTTCCCGATGTTTCGAAATAAATGAATTCCAGGATCTCGCAGAATTGTCTGGCATGCTCGACGAGGTTTCGTGGAGGATGCACTTCCTGCATTCCAATCATAGAACACTTGAGTGAAAGTAAATGGTCGATGGATTCCCAAGAGAACGAGTTCTTATTGGGGTTGTAACCCTAAGAGCAAACGATTACCCAGGAGTTTTTGATTTCACGGAGAGTTGGGTGAATTATGTCTGAGAGAATGTTTGACTTGTCGGTTTCTATTCTACTGTAAAAATTATGATGGAGAATGATTCAAGTGAAATTTCTAATTTAAATTTAACGGCCAACAGAAATTGCTTCAGCTGAATTTTTCCACTCATCTTTCCACAATTGAAGACTCGATGAATATTTATCCCCTGATATAATAGATTTTGGAAATACGTCCCACCGTTTTATAGTAGAAATTTAATGGCCTACAAAAAATATCTGACATTTCTCAAAATCAACCCGTTTCGAAGATATTCATGAAGCAATTTGCATTCAATTTTCCATCTCATCTCTTATTTCCACCGCTTCCCCCGAATTCTCCATGGCTCGCAGAAAAAAATTCAAACGTCATATCAATGCAGAAATCCTTCAAATACTGTTCGAATCGAATATTAGAATCCACCGTTGACCCAGAGGATTACACCGGCTTTCACCGGTTCCCTCGAGAAAATTTTATTCGAACATGTTTGCATAACTGAATAAATGCATTCCGAGAGGAGCCGATTCCCCTCACCTGAATAATTAGTGGAGAATACCTCCGCAAAATCTATTGTACTTGGGCATGAGACTTTCCGAAATATCGGTAACAGCATGCATCATTGCTTTATAACGAAACGACTAATGCTCCTGTTGAATTATTATACAACATGAGAGAGTCGAGGGAATTTGTATAACGGAATGCATCCGAGTCACGGAGGCGAACGTCAGCCGTTAGATATACGATTGAATGTCGACAGAGCCGAGAAGAAGAGGACGAAAGTACCGGTTTTAATTTTCCAATGAATTTGTAATTAATTCGTGGTGACAGGCTGTCTGTCTCAAGTAATTTGTACTCCCATTAGGTTAATAATAATTTCCACGCTCTTTACTCAACACGATAGCGAAACCTGTTATCAGATAAACTGCGAGATGTTTAGATATAATCAATGGATGTATGTCAGACAACAAAATACTCCTCCACTCTTCATTTCACCACTTGATTATTGCGGCAATATTCAATGGATATTTTTACCCTCAATTGGATTGAAATCAGCCCGATATGGAGAAGGAAATGGATAAATGGAGTAGACGCGACGTAAGGTCGATGACATGATGCAAAATGGTCACGTTTTTCAGACCCTACAGGATGCATTACTTGGAAACTGGTGTAATTAATAAAATACAGCACTGTTTGTGGGTGAAAACTGCGGGAGTTTTGTGTTTCATGGGAGAGGGGAATTTAATCGTGTGATGAAACCCGTGTGAAGTCATTATGCACATTATTCTTGTTTCGATTATTTATGTTGCAACAGTTGGGAATAAATTTTTCACTCAATTTCAATTTTGTTAAATGTCAGACAATTTTTATGAGGAGTTTTATGCGCCAGACTCTTATAAAATAGTTGAGTTATTAAAAAAAAAATGGACAGATGATTGAGTAGCGAATTTTAAAAACCAGCAAATTAATTCCTGTCATAATTTGACTGGAAGAGAAACAAAGTTCTCTAGTGATAAGCAAAAAATGTACTGTATCTCCTGCTCTCAACGTACGATATGACATCATATTTAAAAATATCCGAGCATAATTATGACGGTTTTTTTCCGGCTCGTGACTCTGCGATAGTATGTCGTAATCACTCTGACAATTTAGAAAGATTCAGCTGGTTATTCACAATGTTTTGTTGTTTTGCAGATTAACAGCAAATACAGCGAGGAATTAGCCCAGGAATGTCTGGAATGGATCAAGACAATTACCGGGGAAAATATAAACACCAGCGGAGATATGGATAATTTTTATGAAACACTCAAGGATGGAACTCTCCTGTGCAGGTAACTATCCATTATTGAATCGGAAATTGACGTGGAATTGGTGAGGATATTTTAAAAATTGAATTCTTTCTGGGCAGATTGGTGAATCACGTGCAGGAGGGATCAGTGAAGAAGATTAATCAATCAACGATGGCTTTCAAGTGCATGGAGAATATCAATGCGTTTTTGGAGGTAGCGCGCGGATTGGGTGTACCTCCCCAGGAGACATTCCAGACTGTTGATCTTTGGGAACGGCAGAATCTTAATTCGGTCGTTATTTGTCTCCAGTCCCTCGGGAGAAAGGTAAATCTCATTTGGTTGCTAATGAATCAATCAACGACGACTTATTTCCATACTGACTTTTTCTTGTTCATCAGTCAATTATTCAGACAATGAATTATTTAACGATTAAATGTCAGTTATAGAAAAGAGCTCTTGATATTTTTCACTTAAATAACTCAATCCCAAGGTAACTGCTTCATTAATAAAGATGTCATATTCGACTTGTCTTCGATGGAGTCAGTTTCTTTCTTCAAATTTAAGACTTTGAGTGTTCAAAAGATCTCGGTACCTGGGTCTCCTTTATGATTGTAATTATCATATTTCTTCTAACAGGCTGGCAATTATGGTAAGCCGAGCATTGGACCAAAAGAGGCTGACAAAAATGTTCGTAAATTCACTGAGGAGCAGCTGCGCGCTGGGCAAGGTGTAATTAGCCTCCAATACGGTAGCAACAAGGGTGCCAATCAGAGTGGCATAAACTTTGGAAATACTCGACACATGTAAATCCTGTGTTCCATCACTCAGCCAAATTCTCGTTTTATTTTTCACTTCTTTTTTTCCAATCGCCATTGGAGATGATAAATTTTTCGTTTATTCTAAATTTTACAAATTATCTTGATAATTTGGTATTATTATACTGATATATTTTTTTTACTCTTGAATTGGAAAGATATTTTATCCTCAGTAAGGGTCCACGTGAATAGTTCAATGAATTAGTGTACGTTGGTGCCATTTTTGGGTTGAAACATTTCATAAAAACCGATGCCCCTGACCAAATTAACGTATTACGTAGGAATAATGTAATTCCTAGTATTTTGCACAATTGATCTCGAACGATCGCTTGAGAAATTTCGGAGAAATTTTGGATGAACACGAACGAGAGATGAAACGGACAATGCATTTCTATTGTTGAAAAACTGTCAATTTTCATGACTTGAAAGCAATTATCTTGTGACAAAATAATTTGTAGAGCAACCGACGTGGTGCATAATTGTTACACGATGAACTCAGATTATTTCATTTATCATATTACCGTTGATTTAACGCTTCAGTTGTGTTTGGAAAACTCATATGAAAAAAATATTAATTCTATGCATTGGATCCTCATTTGCACGTCAGTTATTATTATTTCTAAGAATATATATTGTGTATGATACATAGAGAGCGATTAACTTAAGTATTTTGTACAAACATCTTTTTTGGTGAATTATTGAAGGAAATATATAACTTTCAGATTGTATTTAAAAGTCTATCAGGAATAAAAAAATTTATTAGAAATTAGTAAACATGTAGTTCTTTATTTCATTCATTCACATAACTAAGTTTTCTAAAGGAGATGTATTTATCAACAAGTTATCGCTGGAATGGGTAATAATCCAGGCCTGAGTTCCAGTGCCAGGGGTGAGTGAATCCAGTTTTTTGGCGTGAAGCAATCTCCATCAATTTCTGAACTTCAGGTCTGAGAAAAAAATCATATGGTAAAATCAAATCTGTAGTAAAGGGATAAAACGTTACAAATGCAATTTGGAAATTTCTCTCATCACATTTATCAGATCAGTAATGGAGTGGTAAAAGATAACAAAGGTAACAATTTAACTCCTAGTTGAGTTTCCAAGGAATATCTCCAAATGTGAGTGAATGAAATTTTTGTAAACATCTTTTTGTGTGAAAGTGCTTTTTGTTTAAGTGACATACCCACTGACATTTCCGCAAATTTCGTCATTTAGAAATCACAATTAGGAAACTATAAATTTCGGTTTCATTATTAAGAATGAGCAAAAATTCGAAAAATTAAGCTCCATTCAATGCCGAATCTTTATTCGCGATTAAAATTTCAAGTAAAATATGAAATTTTTGCCTCTTTTCTATTCAAAACTGTTTGAGTTCACTCGAATTTCAAATAAAACATCACTCTCCTGAAAATTGGCGCTCGATTGTCTATGAAATTTGATGTGTACGAAAAGAGTCCTCTCAATATATCGAGGTCTCCTTCAAGGACAGTTTCAAAATCACTCGTCATATTTAACGTCACCTTTTCTTACTGCCGAGTCAATTCCTCGGAACAGATTTGTAAAATTAAAAATAGTATATTATCCCAGGGCTATTATTCCGTCACCTAACATGTTTGTAGTGTATAAACTACATTTAAAAAGAGAGTATTGAAGAATGAATGCTTTCTCATATTATAACGACTACTTTCGGGGCATAAACTAACGAAATTGCACATCCCTAACAATAACCCTGGGATAATATAGAAACACGATAAATCAGTTAAATAAAAAAATTTGAATTTGCGTCATAAAAATGAAAAATCATTTTTTTCCAATAATCCGTCATTCAATTAATTTTATCTAGTAGACAAACGTACCTGTCACAAGGTTGCAACATTTCCTCATGGAAAGTGCAGGGTATCGGCTCTTCTTCTTTATGCTGCCTATACACTCGAGATCTAATCAAATCGACATCACGACCACATTCCTCCAGAAAATCGTCAAGCTTGGTCGGAGGTGCATTAAAGTGCAAGATAAAATAAGAGGCCTTACGATGCACTACATCGTTAGCCGACATTTTATACGGGGTCGGCTTTTCCCCCAAATTGTCGATTTTCCTAATGATACCACCGCGATTGAAAATACCGGTTGCTACACGCTTCAATGCTGCTACTGTCTGCGGCTAAATTACAATAAACACGGAAATTTCAACGACATCCCGACAATGTGAACACCTAACCTATACTACGTATTATAGAACTTCTGTTATTTTGATTTACCTTCGTCATGGCACGCAGAATGAGGGGCATCTCGTAGACGAGCATTTTGTCGACTAGTTGTTGATCGATTCCCCCAGTCAATACCTTTAATAATTTACGATCCCTTATAAACTTCTCTCCAGCTCTGAATTCACGCGTTTTCGAACAGTAATAACATCGTTCCTTGTCGCCAGTTCGTTCCCTCTGTCGACGAGCCCGAAGAGTGTTTGCATGTAGAAATAATGAGGAATGAATGGAAAAGAATTGATTGAACTTCCCTCAATCAATTATAGAAAATCCACAAGATGTACAATTTTCCTCTTAAAAAAATGTCTAAATATCCCTTATTGAAGTCAAATATTTGCGTCTAATTGCGTTCATTGACGATTCGATAACCCATCGATTCCACATCCACTGTTCCCATTTCTACCTCTCGCTTGTTCGTGGACAGTGCGTGGACTTCCCCGCCTACAGCGCTCCACACGTCGACATTCGAGAGAGTATTACTCAGTTGGTATAAACACGAGTGAGTGCCAGCATGACAAGCTGACGCAGAGATGAGCCGGAGTTTGTTGACTACAGTTGCTTTCAAACAAACATAAATTACGTAGAACTAATTGATAACTGAATTTCATCAACATGGTGAGTGCCCTGAATACTCCTCACTTCCCAAACATCATCAGCCTTGGGTTGATTGATGACTAGCAACGAAAACCATAACCTTCCACTATTTATGAATTCCTAATCAACGATCAATGTTTTTTATTTTTCTCACTAGTCAGCTTTATTCAACTTCCAAAGTCTGATGACTGTCATCTTACTCCTGATATGCACTTGTGCCTACATACGATCAGCAGTACCAAGTTTATTGGACAGGAAGAAAGTTGGGTATGAGGCTCACAAATTTATTTATTTTGAAATAATCAATGTTTATTCTACTACTATTAAAAATAATACATTTTATTCTCTCAGGATGGGCGGAATATTCTGGAAATGTGCGAGAATCGGTGAGCGAAAGAGTCCATATGTTGCTGTAGGCTGTCTCTTCATGGCATTCAGCATATTATTCTGGTCCTAGAGTGGGCCAAAGCATGAAGAAAAACATGAGAATCATGAAAACGTGATTGAAACTGAATAAAGTAAAAAGCCCACAGTTTTGAGGGGACAAACAATTTTAATAATCACTGAGAACCAACAGAACATAATAAACGTACGAAGGCAATGGAAATTATTACTTACATACGTATTTTCACTTTATTTGTCAACACGTTACGTCTGCAAAGCTAGTGTGTATTCAACTTGAGCACATCTTCTCATCCTTACATGTGTATCTTAGAATATATATAATTCTTTTTTTTACTATAAACAACAGAACTTTTATTTACTCATTTCATGTCCATAGGTACTATATTTATCAGTGTATTGAGCATCATTCGATAATACAACTAATTCATCCGATAGTTACACTGATCATACATTCCTTCACTTCATCATACAAATTATTTAATAACTACGAGGCCCTATACCTTGTGGAGCAGTATAACTGATATGATCATAAATCAAGATATGTCTTTATTGATATTTACAAATCAATGATTAACAGTTCGTAACGTCGTACATAAACTTCGTTGTTTAGATCTGAAATAAATGTAATTATCTTTAAACTGTACAAAACAAGTTGTAAAACTCCCCAGTTGTCGTCAAACCGCAAAGCATAGGGCTTTTTCCTCTGACATTTCAGTCGACTTTTCATTCATCAAAAACAAAAATTCTGTAATGAATTATCGTTTAACTAACCACTTGAAAACATTTAATACAGCGTTACACGCACTACAGATATGACTTCTTTTTAAACGACGAGAAATATGAGATCCTCAGAGTGCTCATACCCCAATCTCATAAAACTCGTTATACTATGTATGTAACTTACACGTTAAGTCATTACACTAATTATTTGTCTCATATTTGATTATGAAATTCATAGTCAATTCACGACACTCGTGTCCCCCTCAATGTCCCCCATTACGTTCAGTATCTATAAGTTTATAATTTGAAAACGTCACTTTTACAATCTTTTTTTCGTGAGTCCTTCAATTTATTCACCTCGTGTCTTAGTTTAAATTTTTCATTATCGAGATTTCGTAGTTCCAAAAAAATATAATCATCTCAACTTTGGATATGTCCCCATTTCAGTTAAGACATTCGACAATGCTAATGAAAAATATTCATCCTTCACTCGCACATTATCATAGGGTTTTCATGAAAAAAAAAACGCGCATAATTTCACAGAATGATGAATCCCTCGGGCAATACATTTTTTTTTCAAGACGTGTTTATGACCACGAAAAAAGGTGAAAGAAAATAAAAGGAGAAGTATGTAAATGGAACACCTCACTCTTGAATATTATAAACTCAAACGTCGGGCATGGGGCGAATGTACATCTTCCACATTCATCATCAGGCAAACTGATGGAATATGAAAATGTCTGAGGTAAAAAAAGAGCTAAAAAATAATGGAAGATAAAGAACAGAGGAATTTAATTAAAAGGCGGCTAGATAATTGCGGGAACAATAGGGGAAAAAATTCACTCAGTACTAATATCAAAATGATAACACAAGAAGTGCAACTGCTATGATAATAAAGTTGCTGTTGGCTATCGTTCCAAGACTTCCATCAAAGATTTCATTATGTTTAAAGGCATTGTGATCTTTAGTGAGAGGTACACGTGAGTCCGGCGTTGTTGTTGTAATGAATTTCCTTTTTTCATAAGTGAATGCAACCGTACTCCTTTGTAACATCGGTGTACTTGTTCTGCTGTACGAAAGTTTTGGCGTTGTCCTCCATGATGAATTCCCTCCACTGAATCTCTTCCCACTGGTGGAAGTCGCACGTGTTGACTGAGTCACACCTTCAATCTCTGCAATGATAAACGATCGTATTCTCTTCCACATATACTTTTTTCCTTTCCTCATCTCTCCATTCCCCTCCCTCTTCCCATTTTTCTTATCCCCCTCCGAAATTTTTTCCCCCATTCTATTCTTCTCGTGACACACGTATGAATTGAAATAACGGAGAAATTTTCACTCCGGACTGAGAGAAAAACGAACAAGTTGTCAAACAACTCTTGTTTGAGCCACCGAAATCGTTAGTTGAAAATTAACAAAAACATGGATAATTGCTCGGCTTTCAATCATTCATACAAGACGGTGCCTTTTCAGAATAAAAATATCTTTTACGAGGGAAGTTTACCAAGAAATATTTTGTCCCTAAGTTGCAAGATTGCTGTCATTTCATTATTATTATTATTATTATTTATTTTATTTTATTCATTTATTTATTTAAACAATAATATTTTGCGATAAAAATTTTCAATCTCCCCGCACAAGTACGATTTGTTTGAGAACCCTCCTGTTTTTCTCTCGGTGCGTAAGAAAATTGAGAGCATGAAAAATCAAAAATATCTCACGGTATAATCGTAGAGTTGCTTCAGCCTCCCCAATCACTGATTTAGCAATGCACTTGTACTCATCCAAATCCTCCGCCTGAAGTTGCATTATCTTGAGTTCAATGGTTGTCTTCCACTCCTCTTTTTCATTCACCGTCTCATTACTCACGAATCTACCACTGGGGAAATTAGCATAGCGAATTAGTCAACAATAAATTACGAATTCAAGCCCTCCCTCTAGCTCTGTCACCCTCACTTGACATTGTATCCGTTTGTGTTATAGATATGAGATTTATGCATCAAGTATAATTTACGAGGTGGGACGAGGGAGTGAGGGAAGATTGGCTTGTTCAGCCGTAATTTCAATTCCCGTGTGATAGGAAATTGATTTCAAACAAACGGACATACTGAATGCACTCAAGGGATGGGTGAGGAGGGAAGGTTTTAGGGGAGATAAAGGTCAACGTATGACATTTTGATTTCTGTCATTGTGAAACGTACCCACTGCTTATTGACACGACTTGTTTCCCTCGCTGCCACATATTTATTGTTCTTGGGAAGGACTCAATTTCACATACGAGTGACACATCGGTGCCCAGGGGTGAGCCAACCAGTTGATTTTTAACTTTCGCAGTGGGCGAAACTTCTCGTTATTCAATTCAACAAACAATAAAGGACGAATTATTTTTCATGGATTTGTTGTGTCATTCAGTGGCCACTCGATAGTAGGATGGATAATCAATAGGATATGTGTTATACTCCCTCATACGTATGCAAATACTCACAGTGTACTCTCAAATAAACTCGTTTGCTGACACCCGGAGGCACATCATTCGTTGCAATACAAAGATAGGCCCCCATTTGCTTTCTGTCTACCCTGATTAATTCGAGCCGCTCACCCGCAAACGTCTCCACTGTAATTCATACGGTTTCTATGAGTGTTTCATTAGTTATATATCGGGAAGAAGTGTCTGGGCCCCGTGTGCTAACTCACATATGAACATTTCACCAAACTCGATTATAAATAGCCCCTATATGGGAACCAAGATTAAACTCTGCGTTATATTCAATTTGAAAGTTTGGAAACTTTTAAGGGTGGATTCGAGTGAATGGGGGTTGATGATTTTTTAAATTGCCTGCAGATGTGGGAGGTTGAGAATAGGTGGAACTGGCTGGATTTCAGAATTGGCGTGTAACTACTGTTTGTATCACAGTAATGGAATAAAGACGCGGATGATTACTGAAATCTCATCTTCAATGCAGTATAAATCGTTGACGTGGCTTGCAACAGTCAATTTATATGGCTTTTCGATTAAATCTGATTACTTGAAAATCAGCAAATCAGTTGTCTCTTAATGCGAATTAAAATTTCAATTCGATGTAACGATCGATTCATCCCATGATTACCTGACAAATTCAGTTATCATTGACGTTTTTATCAGCGTTCAACATGAGCAGCTCTATCTTCGTCAATCTCCAGCATATATTGAAATTTCGAAACCAATTACACGTAATTAAATTGAGAAGTAACTCTCATCGAATTCTGGAATATTCCCAACAAATTGGAAGTGGATATGGAATGATGCCTCGGGGGTTTTAATTTTCGAACTGTCAATTTTTTTCCGAATGAGCACAACTGTTTGGATATCAAATACGTCCATGCAAATATTATGTTCGCCTCCGAAGTAATAATGACGAATATGAGGATGGAAAAATTTATTTGCTATCTGGTTTCACGTTCGATTTACCCATTCAACTGAAAAATTGTAATTATAATTGACATTTCCATCTACGTTTAATATTAAAAACTCGATGCCCTGCAAGCTCCGACAGTCCACTCGAAACTAATCCCAAACAATGAAAATGAATAATAATAACTGTCAGCGGCATTTTAAAACATCCCATCGCATTATGGTTTTAATGTTTGGATTGCTGATTTTTCTCAAAAATAAATAAAATAGTTTGGGTATGAAGCACGGACATAATGACAGTTTCAACTCCAATTTGCTTCCACATTTGATTTTCTCTTTGAATGAAAAAGTTCAAGTGATCGTTGACATGTTCATCCTCGTTAAATATGAAAAACTCAATTTGCTTCAATCTCCAGCGTGAATTAAAATTTCAGGAAGAATTTCAAGTAAAAACGAATGTCGCGTAATGGAACCGAAAATTGATAACTGTCAACTGAATCCCCAAGAAGTTCCAGTAGCATGAATATGAAGTGACAATTACCTTTAATGAATTGATCACGATTTTTTCTCACTAGTAAAGCATCCTTCTCCTTCTTCCACGCTACGGTGGGCGTTGGTCTACCCGAGGCTTTGCACTCCAGTGTAGCATTCTCACCCTCTTTGACGATTACCTCGCTCTCTGATGTCCCCGAAGTTAGGATATCAGGTGCAACTGCGAATGAAATCGTTAATATTGATTTTCGTATCGGTTTAACTCACTCCATCGAGGAAATAGATGGTGAAATGCAATAGGATGCCTGAAAAGGGAGGGCGAGAGAGTTGGACGATGAGTTTATCGAACCATTTGGTACACTTGGTAACTATCGTGTGTACGTGATCTCACGGCTTTTGGTTTCATATCGTGTTGATATTACGGTTTTAGATAGTAATTAACACAGCTAAAAGGGGTTGTTCGCCCATATGGCAGAGACACGTACTCATCAGCGCTAAGTTTCTAAATTGAGTATTTGTGGGTGATCCTCATAATTGATGGAATTTTGTCATTCTGTCCCTACCTCAAACCTGCAGGCATTCTGTGCATACTAATACCGCATTAAGCAACGGATTGACTTAATTACGATTTCGATGTTATTAATAGGAGTAAATCGCCTAAGGTTTGAACGAATGTCATTTGCCATAGAGTAGTGCTCGAGGGCGTGAGATTCAATGATAATTACACAGAGAAGTAGTATATTACGTTATAAATGTGAAAACGGGGAATGTTAGTACGAGTTAATACACGAGCAACCGAGCGCGACTTTTGGGCCCTCACGTAAAATGGTTTATAATACAAGTGAAGAAAAGGGCACTTTTATGATCGAATGATTCATTCATTCCAAACGAGATTCATTAACACTCCGTTGGTCGCGCTATGACCGCCACCCCGCACTTTTTTAGATTTTTTAAATTACACTGCAATAGAGCCTCAGAAAAATTAGAAAAAATTTTTCATTTCATTTTGAACTGTCTACCCGAGTCGAATAATTGGACCTGACAAATTCTACTTAGGTCTCTCCGTTCAGAACTGGATAGGTCTTGGGAAGCCTCTTCCCAAGTGCTTCCGAGACCTTTCTACCTCTGGTTATGTCCCACTTCAGCACTTGTTAGGTGTAAGCAGGACTTGCATTCAGACTTTCCAAATCCTTGCCGGTCCCCGTAATTCTATGGGCCTATATTAAATCTGCGTTCATATCCCTATTTACTCATGCGTTATTGAAATAAAAAATGCAATTATTGTTTTTTTTTTAATCTCGAAAATCGACATTTCACGGGAGGGTGGAGGGGAGAT